TCCAGTAACAACGTCGAAGAAGTTCGTTTATGCTGATGAAATCGCGCTAGCAACTGAACAAGATGCCTTGCAGAAGTTAAGCTACATACTCACGGCTAACCTCGCTATTTTGACGCAATATTCTCACCAGTGGAAGCTACACCCAAACCCGACGAAGACTAGTGCGACGATCTTCCATCCGGACAATCGACTAGTCAAGGAGAAACTCACAATTGAGTTCTGTGGTCAAGCGTGACGAAGCAACGCCAAAATATCTGGGCGTCACTGTTGATGGACCCTCACGTTTAAGCCACGTCTGGAAGAGACAAAGCAGAAGATCAAGATGAGAATAAATCTGTTACGAAAACTTGCCGGAGTCTCCTGGGGAGCAGGTGCCCGCGTTCTGCGTACTACGGCCCTGACGCTCGTGCATTCTCTCGCGGAATATTATTCCCTGTTTGGATTTACAGCTGCCACACAAGCAAATTAGACACACAGCTCAATGAAGCGATGCAAATAGTGACAGGAACCTTGAAGCCAACCCAAACAGTGGTTACTGATTCTGGTGAGTACTGAACCTCCTCACCTCTGGAGGGGCGTCTCGCATTTTCTAGAACATTGACAGAAATCACCAGCTTCCCATCCATCGTGCCTTCCCGTAGCCACCAGGTACGAGGCCTGAAATCACGTCACCCAGCATGAAAACGAGCGACGACGCCGCGTCTGAGTCTTAAAGAACAGTGCCGAACAGAGTAGGACGCTACAGCCGTCCATAACAATGATCTAATTTCCAGTTTGACCACAGAACCCCATGGTATGGACTTCGCTGATTAAGAATAGTGGAGATAAAACCGGATTCAAACAGGATAATTAGGTGTGGACACCTACTCCATCGTTGGAAGATGAAGTCCAGCATGCAGTGTAACTGCGACCATGAAGATCATACCATGCAGCACATTATTTCCAAATGCCTGCTGCAAAACATCGACGGCAGCATAACTGATGTCCAAAATGCTACCGCCTCCGCCATTCACTGACTCAGAAACCTTGTCGTTGAGCTGTAAAGTTGCTAATCACCTCCCCCAGCCAAACAGCGGAAGAAACGGATACAACAGCCTTAAAAGCCTGACAACGCGAACTTTATAGTGGATTGCTTTCTACTGAAATTATGCAATGATCCTCGCTAGTATAACACTGTTGGCCTGTCGTACTCGCTTGTAAACGTATGTAACTCATTCCATTTGTCAGCAGCGACCATTTATCAAATAGAAACAAACTTTTAACTATTTTCTGAACAAGTGAAGGAACTGCGTCTTTCTTAATTCCACGGTTACAGGCACCAAAAGTAGAGTTTTTAATAGTAAACCTACAGCACTGATTAAACTACAGCACAAGGATTATTTCAGTTCAACACGATACAATCAGTGTTTCTGCTGACAAATTATTACAGATGAATTAGCTACTGCATACACTGTTGCCGACAGACAACCATTAATCAATTTTATTTTGAGAAAGACCCGCGAGATACGGCCAAAACGTCAGTACTGGTCGACCACTCGATATACTAACTGCATTGTGTTGCTTTAGAAAACCCTTGTGCTGTATGTCAGTATGATTAGCAACGTGCGAACTGCGAAATGAAGCGTTTAGTTCAAATAAGAGCGCAATACATCTCTTAGAATAACGTAATAGTACGCAGAGTTACTTGAGATTCTAGAAACAGGAAGCTTCCAATTTCCACTGCTTTTCGAAACATGAAGCTGTCCAAGGCAAGGGTATTCAACTTTTCGCCGCTAAACATGTTTCACGTAACGAATGATATTATAACGGATGAATCCTTCTGACATACCAGAGTAATGAAGCGCATGTCCAAGCAAGTTCGTAAGAGGAACGCATTAGGAATCCGCCAAATATTTTGCCGTATAAGTTGCGTTCCTTAAAAGCTTATAAAATCGTTTAATTTGCAATCTGGTTCATTGTGAAACGTATTCACGATACCAACGTTTTACACTGTAATAATACAATCAATGCGAACAGTTCTCCAGGTTGACGTTTGCGCAGCATCACCTCGCTTATAAAGGTCCACGGATCAATTACGTTGCCCAAATTCAGTGATTTTATAAGCGGCACAGATGCACTTTGCATTTTGTTGACCGGCCACTGTTTTGCTCGTTTTCAATGCTTTATCATAAGCCGATACTCCCTGTACTTTACAGAGAGTCTGAAGACCAGTCTGTCATCCCCTAGCCAAAATTATGACGATACGGAGTTGTTGAATAGCCAAAACACACTTTCAAGAGTTTATGCCTTTTTCTGTTCGAACTTTCTGATCTGAAGTCGGTGAACTCAATTTTCTCATCGACTAATTCTTTCGTCGGCCACCAACTGTATTCCATGTGGAAGAAACGCGACCGAGCGCCGTAGGTGACGATTCAGTCGCATCGATTGAAAGCTTTGCACTATTCGAGTACTAAAGTAGAACACTCATGGCGATACTGTGTCGTGATGAATTAAAAACAATTTGTGGTAAAGTTTGGCCGCAACTTGAGATTTTCAAAAACAGACGTGGACCGTATGAACAGCGATTGCAATTTTAAGCACTAGAATATATTTTCCTACATGCGCTGGGGAGCGCATACGCATATTCTAATATAGGAACGGTGTTATTTGTTACATAACTAAACACTATTCTTTGTTTTTCTCATTCATTCTTACATCTAACAATGAACAGACGTTAAAAACTTGTGGCTCTATCGCGATTCACTGACGTCCTGAAAACTATCCAGTAAGGAACTTAAAAAGAAAAATCCGAAAAGATCTTAACGAAATTTCGGACCAATAATATAATATACTACACCGAAAAACTGATACACTGGTTCATCTTGTAACGCGCAGAGCGCCGCGTTACGAGTTGATACCCCGAAGTTATGTACAATGGCCTGACAAGCGCAGCAGATACGTTTGTCAAGCACATCTCCAGAAGAACGACAGCGGCGTAGCGGACAGCTGTATCGTGCAAAAAATACGTAAGAGCGAGAGACGTCGGAACGTCGTTGACAGTATTGCGATTGAAGTAGTGTTCGTTGTAACTG